CAGTTATCCAATACAATTAAAAGAAAAGTTGAAAAGGAGATGCTGGGAAGCCTTCTTATGTATCAGATCCAGAAACCAGTTTCTCTTAATCACTAATTGCTTGAAAAATTATTGCTATACAGTATTCAGATAATGGGAGCAATAGAAATATTACAGCTGCGCTGCATTAACTTGAATGATCAGGAAACTTTCTTGAAGAATAACTGAAAGAAATGGCATCAACAAGACTGGATTCTTTTCTAAATTTATTGTTTCACTGGAGTTTCCATTAAAGGAAATGCTAGACAACTGTGCCAATGCAGCTTTTTAAATAGGTAAGACCATCAGAAATAGAACTGGAAGACAGTTCTTCAAAACAATAATCCAAATTAGATTTAGTGAAACCTTTCTAGTGAAACATTTCTCATTTTTAAACCTCATTTTTCCACTCTTCTTTCAAAGGTATGAACATTAATTTAAACAGAAACAAAAGTAGCTGATTTTTATGTTTCACGCCATGAGTCAAATGTTATTTGGGTTACATCTGTCCACTTAAAGTATGGTATTAAATGGAAATCTGATAAACAAGGTTTATTCTTTGCATTGATGCATGTAATGCTGTTTTGAAGGTGCCTCACAATTATCTTGAAAATACCTATGCACTGCTTAGCAAATTATTGCAAGTTGTCTTGAAGAAATAAAAAGAAGCAATTCTTACAACAAGCTACTGAAAACCTAGGACATGCCCCTCCACTCTCAGTTATAAGAGACAGATAAGACACATATATAAAAGTAGTGGGTGCATTGCAAAATAATGCTTTTCATTTACATTTTTAGCACATTGTCTAATATCATAGGACAGTTTTATGAGTATCCTTACGGACACCCTTTTTATTTAAAGCTCATCATTTTTGAGATACACTATATTGCAAGAAAGGTACATTGTTTGCAACAAAAATCAAATTCAACATAAACTAGAGATTCAAGCATCTGGAAAAGAAATATGGAGAAAGGATTTTTCCACACTTTCAGAGCTTTCTAACATATTTGGACCGTAAGTATCAACCTGTCATCTCATTCCTAGAAAATTGCCCCAAATGTTGCAAGTTCACTAAATCCTGCATGATTTTATTAAGCAAGACTCCTAAAACAAGAGAAATTGAATGAAAGTTCAGCATTCTAACTTGAGAGTTTGGCAGTGTTTAAAAATTGTTTTAACTAAATTGTTAGGGTTTGCGTAAGGTTTTTTTTTTGTGAGAAATGAATATTCTGGAATATGCTGAGGTCAGCCTTTTTTCCCTTGAAATATGAGCATTCTTTTAAAGAAAAGAAGCTCCACAACTTTAACTTGCCCCATTGGCCATCAAAGAAAAATGTATCTCCTTCTTTAAAAGAAATGGAAGATTTGTCCAGTCTATTCCTGAGCTGCTTAGGAGTAGCTTTTTTTTTGTTCAAATCAATAACAGATAAAAATACAAATATTTTTATTTATAATAAAGAACACTAAGATATGCACCACACAAAAAACTCACCAAAGCAAAGCAGACAAAATAGGGAGAACTATTTCATGGGATTTACCAGCTCATTGAACCAAATGGAAAGATAATATCTGAGAATCAAAGTAGCTCATTGAGATGCAAAACCTGGCAGAAGAAAAAAACAGACCAATTCAAAGATATATGGAGAGAAGAATGCCAGGTTTAGAAAAAGCAAACTAAATATCACTATTAAGAATAGTCTAGTCCAGGGGTAGGCAACCTTGGCTCTTTCATGACTCGTGGACTTCAACTCCCAGAATTCCTGAGCCAGCATGGCTCAGCTTGGAAACCTCTCCCCTCAGCATGGCTGGCTCAGGAATTCTGGGAGTTGAAGTTCACGAGTCATAAAAGAGCCAAGGTTGCCTACCCCTGGTCTAGTCAATCTAAACAGGACATGGAGCTTGATTCTGATCTCTATTTAGTCATGAAATTCACAGTTGATTCTAAGCAAATCACTCTCTTGGCTCAGAGATGCACAGCTCAAACCCCAGAGTTGTGTTACTCTTCTAAAACCTAACCTGTAACTGCTACATAACCTCAACAATTATCAAATTAAACGACTGTAGGGTGAAATTGTTAATTGAGAGATTGGAGAATAATAATGACATTGAAATACATGAAAATGAATTCAGAGTTAGTCTTCATTTTATCCATCATTTTTCACAATGTGACTGCCAAGTATGTCATTTTAAAGCCAGGCTCACAAGAAGATGTTCATAAGATAGTTGTGGGAATACGAGGGAAGAATCTTAAAGGCTACCCAGGACCCCATGGAAAATGGAACAATTGTATTAATTAGTTTAAAGCTTAGTCTACATACATATAATATATTCCATCTTTTTTCCCCAGAAATTATGAAATAGAAACCTTATTTAAAAATATGTTATTTTCTAGCATGCCTATAGTGTGTGATAATTTTTTAAAAATATTTGAGATGATTATACTTAACTGAAATTCTTTAATTTTGCATAAAACTAATGATTATAATTAGGAGAGAAAGCTACAGCCCTTCTCTTTTGTTCATTGCTGAAAGTAATTCTGACATGTTTTGATAGAATTTAATCCTAGCATCAGAATACAAGCAGGTTTTTACACTGATACATGCCTTACTCATCAGTGTAGTTGAAGTGATAGAATAAAAATCTCACAGAAATTTTTAACTCCTCCTCTATGGAGTTTTCAACATCCACATTATTATGACAAATGCCTAAGTGGTTTAACTGTTTAAACAGATACTTTCAATGACCATTTTTCGGAGGAGAGAAATTGTATTGGGCTGGGTTCAACAATCACCTAAAGCTTAGTTTCCTTAAAAATGGGGCTGAACTAGCACATAAGATGCTGAGCTGAAACTAAGCAACCTTGATTATGGCTGAGAATGATATGTGAGTTCTGTCAGTACATTTCAGCTCTTTTTTTTTCTAATTCCAGATCTGGAGAGGGAAATGGACTTTTTTCAAGTAACACAATTTAGGTTTTGTCAGTATGTACATCATTATTGTTGATAAGATGGTGTGGTCTGCATATCATCTGATGCAAACGATCTGTTGCAATCTTTCCTCTGCCCATGCCACCTGTGGCCTTTGTATGGATAGACTCAACTATCCCAGACCTAGCTTCTCAAGTTGCCAGGCTAAAGTTGCAGCCTTGGCTTTACAGGTAGTCCTTGATTTACGACCATAATTGAACCTAGAATTATGGTCATAGGTGTAGGTCATAATACTCATTAAGTGGGTCACTGCATGAGTGCACTTGATTTCATTACCTTTTTTGCAGTGGTTAAGTAAATGTGGTGATTATTAAGCAAATCCATTGTTTGCTGTGAGGTTTTTTGTTGGAAACCAGAAATAAATGCCAGCTTCTGGCTAAAAAGTCATAAATCATGATCACAATGCCAAGGGATGCTGTAAAAGGGCATAAAAGCGGGCCTGTTACCAAGTGCCCAAAATGTGATCAGCCTGATTGCAAGGGCAAACCACTTTTGAAATCTTGCCATGAAAACTGCAGGGAATTACCCAGGCAGTCGCCAGAAATCAATGCTGACATAAAAAAAAAAAGTCGATTGTAGAAGGCATAGTATTTGCATCTTGAGGAACGGACTAATGCTCTTGAATCCAAAGAGAGGGGGAAAAGCTACTCTTTATATCATATTCAGAAAGTGATCAGAACATATCTTACCCTACTCTTCACATGAATCTAACTAAAATTGATTCCCATCATTTTAAAGGTGCATTCTTTTAAATTAATGTACATAAGACTACAGATATTTGAGCCTAGCTGTTTAAACCTTGCATATGATTAAAAAATAATTCCACTGATTTCAACAGAAGCATATTTGTTTAGTTATGGCTTCTCAAAAGCACCCACAATTGACTGCATCATATAACATACTAAATAGTATACAAAATGTATTCCTGGATTCGCACACCCCACTAACTCTAAACAAGCACTCTGACTTAATTAGATGTATTCGTTACTTTCAGGAAATAGTGTCCATTGGATGATTGTCAAAAGGCTTCAGTAGGGCAATTCCCATCTCTCTTGTTAGTACAAAGATGGAAACTTTTCATTCAGGGAAACTGGAGGAAGAACTTCACAGCCTTCAGGGATTTCTATTCCAGTCGCAATCCTCCTAGGAAGAAAGAGCAGACTGGTTTTCCAAATACTCGCCCATTGAAATTTCTCGGGGGTGTAATTTCGCAATAAAAAACTTCCACGGTCTGGGTTCAAGGATTCCGGAACAGGAAGTTTTCTCCGATCCTAGGCCCTTCCGCAATTGGTTCGTAAACATTCAGAGGATACGAGACACTCAAATGTTTGTGTGCTACTTATAAGAGGAAATGAACAAGCGATCTCTTTGCTCCAGGTATAACTGGTTTTAGACAAAGCAGCCACCCAGCCGCCTCTCCCCTTGAGCCACCGAGTGGTTTTTCCTCCTTAGGCGCTTCCGCCTTTGTAATAAAATCTATGAATGACAAGACGCGCTGAAATTAACAACCCTTGTGGCGTTTTTCTAACTGACCCCAAAGGCCCTGGCAAACAATGGCAAAACGGACCAGGAAAATAAAAGACACAGGTTAAGCTGCATCTCTTCGCCCACACCTCAAATCGAGAGCATTCGCCCCTGGATTAGGGGAGACGGACCAGAAAGAAAGCTTGTTTACAACTGCACGGTTAGAGGGACAAGGCAGCTTTCAAAATGTAGCTAGGTAAAGTTTGTGCTGTGTGAAGAGACTACCCAAGCTAAGAAGAAGGCAGGGCTTAAAATGGAAAGAAAAACGGAAGCAGAATTGCTAGCTAAACTACAATGGTGGGGGGTGGGTGGGTAGAAAGAGAGAAAGAAACTTTGGGGGAACCGAGAGGAAAGAACTTCGTGTTAATGTGGCTTGGAGAAAAGGCAAAGCATTACAGCTAAAAACGTCGGCGGAAAGTTGCGGGCTCGGCCGCTTAGCGGGTGACTTAGAAAGGCAAGAAGAAACTTACGCAGCCCCCACCGTGATCGGCTACGCGCTCCGACCGCTTCGGAGCAAGCCCGAAACTCCGACGCGCCACCCAGGAACAGAGCGAACTTCCTGCTGAGCCGCCGCCGCCGCCGCCATGTGATCCGCTGCGTCAAGCCCTGCCAGCTCTCGGCAGCTGGGCTAACTAGGCGGGGGTGGCTGGGACGCGGATCTCGGCCTTGCCGCCCTCTCCGGGCTTTCTTGGTTCCCCGACGGGCTTTTTCTGCCCGTCCTAGTCGGAGAAAGAGGGCAAATGGGCTGTTCTCGCAGCTTTCCCTCACCCGGCTTCTTGCCTCTGGCTGGGCAGCGTGGTGCAGGGGAGCTTCTCCCGCACGTCGCCCCGCCGGGAAAGGAAGGGCCACGAGGGTTGCTGGTTGTCCAGGCTTGGGTGAGCGGGGAGCGAGGGAAAAAAAGTGGCAGGCAGAGCCTCTGCCCGTGGTTTGCCCGCTTGCCCACCTGCAGCTAACGCCACCGGAAGAATTGGGCTGCTGCGCCCAGTCCCGGTCGCTGCACCGCCTAGCGAGAGGTTGAAGACGACAACAGGAAGATCGTCGGCCTGCGCTCCTCCTCGCGGCTACCTTCTCTGCTTCCCCTATGAGAGAAATTGGTATTCTCCCTTTGGCCTCTCAGAATACAAGGTCGGGGGACCACCCGGAAATCCTCCAATCTTTCCCTAGGGCTTAGGCTATACCAAGAAAACGAAAAACACACTGGAAGAAAGCACAGCATTACGGCGTTATTGTATACAATACAATACGGTTGTTGCAATCAGGAAGAGCCCAGCATTTTAGTTGAACCGAGGCCACTTTATCATATGATGATTGGGAAGAGCACAGCTTAATCCTGTTCGATATCCAAAGGGCAGCGGAAGGAAGGGATCAAGTCTGGAAATCAGGCAGTAGCCTAGTTACTAATTTCTAAAGTAAGCTACAGTGAAGTGCTCACCATAATGGACATATAGAACCTTGCAGATGTAGAAGTTGTTGCTTACCCTGACAGTTATTTGCTCTGCCTATCCTATCTAGACTACAAAAATCTGGATGGCCACCGGATAGTAGAATATAGCAGAAAATGGGTAAATGTTTCTGTTATCTTTACTACCCTGGAACAGTTGTTGGAATATTTGCAGCCTGCACATCTATCCTTGTCTCAGTTTTCTGGGTTTGGATCTCCTATTGAACTATAAATTGATATCAAACATATACTGAAACATATGGGTGAGGTATTGTACATCATACTAGACTTAAGATGTGGCTGACTATGATTATGGGGTTTTGCAGATGCAGTTTTACAGATGAATACATATGAGACAAAACAGTCATTGACATTTTCAGTATTTTCCATTAACTAGTTTGGTGGCTGATAGTGGTTTATTATACTTTAATTGCAAGATAAAGATTAAACATTTGGACAGTGCCTTGTATAAAGCTTTATTTTATTATACTAGTGGCTAAATATTTGGCTTCTGCAACAGATATGTAAAAAATAAGTGAATCTGATCACCAGTAAAGCTAGTAATATTGTATTTGCAGGAAGGAAGAAAACTGATGGATCACAGACAGATTCAGTTGGAAAAAAGGGGAACTATGGTCAACTCCCATATATGTTTGCAGTCTACTTTGTTTGCTGCAACAGAATCCTGAGAAAATCAAGCCCATCTTGATTGGCAGAGCTCACGTGGCCTAAAGTGGAACAATTCTGCTCTTCTGTGATCTAAAACCATTACACCTATTTTACTGAAGAAAACAGGAGGTTATAATTGATGCCATTAGAACAAAAAAGATCATATATAGATTTTGGAAAGATTCTTAACAAGGAAGAGAATCTTACCCCAGAAAAAAATCTATCCTCTATCAACGTGTGTAGATGTGTATTTTGCAAAAAAGGAAAACAATTTGGTGTGTTGTCACAACTGTGATGCCTGGTATAATTATGCATTGATATAATGATTATGTATATTATTGCAAGGTATTGTATAAATGTTAAATGCACTAAAGTATACCCTGGAAAATTGAAAAGGATTGTAGAATGTATGAACTAACTCTATTTATGTAACAGGTCCATTTTGGAAAAAAGTGATCAGCAGATTATGTGAACAGCATATCTGCTTTTAATTTAGACACTTTTAGACATAGAAAAGAGAGAGAACTTTCAAAGCCAGAATTTATTCTTATCCCTTACCAACACAGGATACTTCTAGATGAGCAGGTACCCTACCTTAAACACAAAATTGTATTAGTGAATCTTGTGATATTGTCCAAACTAATGGGTGGGAGACCTCATTCTGTAGAGATGGGAAAAAATAATTAAAAGCCAGCCTAGTTGTTTCACATGGTTTAGACATTCACTTATATCAGCATGAAAGAACTTTTCTATTGTATCATTCTTTCTTTGAAACATTCTCTGCTTTAGAAATTGAGCAGGTGCCAACTTTGCTATGGTTGAATAGCAATTGCTGTGAAATGAAAATCTGTTTATTTACCCCTAGCATTTGAGAGCTCATGATGGCATAGTTGAACTAGTTAACAGCCATTGTTTTATTATTCTTGCATTATTTTGATGTGCTTAATCATGTTTCTTAAGATTTTCTTCAATATCAGAAAATTCATTGCACAAAAGGTAACAATATTTAAAATGTATTTTTAAAAAACTGTTTGCCTGTTTTGACAGAACTTCCCTGATTGTGGATGGCACTCCTGTCACCATAGTTTTTTTTAGGGCTACTCAGAAGTACATTCTTCTGTAGGGAAGCATAATTCCCAAGTTAAGATTAAGGGTGAATGCGGGTTAATTTTTTTTTTCCTGTTCCTGCCCATGTCCATCTTGTTATTCATGTAGCAAAATAAAAAGACAATTTTCCTTGGGTGATAACTAGGGTAAATCTTTACTTGGGAATAATTTAGTATCAGGCAGAATTTAATACTGGGAGGTTTTCTAAGGAAACAAATTTGATAGCACAAGAAATGTTCTACTTCTAATGGGCTGAGGCCTATTGCATTTATACTGATGTTGTCCACATAGAAATATAGTTTCCTTACAGATATAACTAAGTCAGCATTACAAAATATTTACACACTGTTGTGCCCAGCATGATAATAGAATCATCATCATTATCATCATATCATCATCATCATCATGCAGCTTTACTGGGAACAGTTTAAAGTTGAGATGATGAAACACATCAAACATCCACATCTGCCTGTCCCAGATAGAAAATAGATAGGTAGATAGAAAGATAGGTAGATAGATAGATTGATTGATAGATAGATAGGAGACGGAATTGGTATCCTCATGAACAGAAGTACAGTTAAAAAAACTATTAATTTCAGGATTCTGATTTGTTTTAACAAGTCATGCTGTTTTATTTGGGGGGATTTTGATGAAGAATAGTCCCAGGTTTTTATCAGTAATTCCAATTGCAGATTTAATATTTTTATTGCTTATAAAATTGTAAAAGAACAGAAGAATCTCAGATAGCCAACTGTAATTATTTACACCAAAGCACATACAGGAGGTAGGCCCTAATTATAAAATGAATTATAAAATCTACACCCTTTTTTAATACATAGATTTGATGCAGAGTACATACCTTCTATCTTAGCAAAGTAGTCTTTGCTTTCCAGAATATTCAAATCATTTGGAAACACACCTATTTTTAGTCTGCTTCCATGCCTATTTTGCTATCAGAAAGTTTTCTCAACAGGAGCTTAGAAGTACAGTTCTATCTTGTTTAGCTAATGACTGATGTTAGCTGGGAACTTCCACTGAAAAATCCCCCACATGAGACTTCCTTGTATGTAGCCACAGAAAACTGATCACTATAATTTGTACTCTCACTAAATTGGAATTTAAAGTGAAAACAAAAATGTAAACTAGTAGTAGAACTTTAATATCCTATCAATAATGCCATGTACTACAGTAAAACTTCTGCTATATGGATGTGAATTGAAGGATGAAAGTTTTTGAATGATTTTTAATCAGCAGGGACTCAGGAGTACTTTGTAAGGCTTATTTTGACCAAATGTATAGATTATGAAAAAATGAAAAATAATAACAAAATATTTTCTGGGGGAAGATACACAGTTTGTTCAGATTTGAGAGGATACATATAGGTTATGTGTATTTTTCTTTATAAAAGTTTTACACTGAAAAGGAGTTGCCATTTTCACATTTTGAAAAGTGGTGTTGCAATCTCTGAACCATCTTTTTGTGGTGGGATTTGAGCCACTGTGTGGCTGAAAATCAGATGGCAAAATTGAATGGTGCATGTTCTGGATAATTAGAAGTTTCTGTACCAAAGTTTTGTATGAACATTTAAATTGGTTATATGGTAGTAAATGAATAGTTACTAGTGCTTAGCTAAAAGCCTTTGCAATTTTCCAGAATAAAAGCACTGATAATATTAAGGTGCACCTTTTTGCAGAACATTAGAATGTAAAATACAAATCCAGTTACAAATTTAAAATATCAGTTAAGCAAATTATAAACAGACAATCCAGTAGATTACCCTAAAACAAAATCTCAGACCAGTGAATCAACAACTATTTTAGCAATAGCTTTTGCGTGAATTTGACCAGCTGCAATTAAAACAATGGAGCTACTGTCTGTATTTTTATTATGTTGGCCAATAAGAAAACAATTTTTTTTCTGGAAAAGACTTCTCTTGTGTATGAGTTAGAATGACTTAAAAAAACTTAGTACAAGTTTACAGAACAAAGGACAGAATTGAAGATTACAGGGAAAGTTTCTTAACGGCAGGGATCCACAAATACACAGCCTGCACCAACTATATCAGTTGTATCATCCATCATCATGGTAGACATAATTCATAAACAGATGGCTGTAAAAGTTTGTCTACCCTTAGCCAAATGTGGAATGATGATACAGTCTATTTTATATAAGTTGAACCATTCAGAGAAAGTAAATTTAAAGTCATCAGCAGATCTGATAGTGTTTGGTCAAACAGTCTTGAAGATGAGTGCCAGACAAAAATATAGGAGATACAGAAATAGAATTACAGTTTTAAAGCCGTTGAGAGTGAAAAAAAATTGATCTTTGGTATTTAGTAGCGTAAGATGGGAGTAGAGCCTTC